TGTTTGTTTTTTTTTCCTAAGTATTCTAAACCGCTCACCGTACATGGTACAGTCAGTCAGTTATGTGTCATACGTGATTCTTTCGATCAGATTTTTTCCCGCAGTTGGTTGCCATTTCTTTCTGCGGTAGACCAGTTGCCATCCAAGGCTCCAAGTCGGTATGTGCTGCTATTTACCCATAGCTAGGGGAGGAGAGAAGAAGAAGATTCATACCTTTCCCAATGGTATTAGGAGTAAGTGAATGTAATGGATTCGACTGGAATTCGAACTCGGCTCTCCGATTCCTCAATCCGAGCCGCTATCCTTTACTCCACCATATCTCCCCAAAAATCATATTGCTTACTGGAAATCAGTCAGTTATGTGGCATACGTGAGACACGCGTAGGTGATCATGTATCTTTCGATACATGGCTGACGAAGCAGATTTTTCCCGCAGTAGGTTGCCATTTCCTTCTGCGGTAGACAAATTGCCATTGAAGGCTATAGAACCCGGTCTGTCCTGCTATTTACTAATAGCGTGAGGAAGAAGAAGAGTATTAATACCTTTTCCAAGGATATTAGCACGTATGTGAATGTAATAGATTCGACTGGAATTCGAACTCAGCTCTCCGATTCCGTACATGGTATAACCATTTCGAAATACCGAAATTCAGTTATCTTCCGGTTACACTTTAGTGAATGTTTAGCTGAAAACAAGTTTAATTTGGAGCAAAGAATTGGGGCATAATGATTATGTTACGCTCTTTAAATGAGGAGTGGCTCCCCCCCCCCCTTGGAAAATCACCATTCGAAATGTTGCTTTTTCCTTTTTACTTGAGCTTGATCTGATGAAGGGAATTATTAAACTATGTCGACCCCAAAACTTCTTTTTCGTAGCCGTGTACCTTCATTTTGAAAAGTGAAAATTTCAAAAGTGTCAATATTCAGGGGCCTTTATCATCTGAACTATTCTTACTCTCACAGTCACACACAGAAACACTCTGTCTCCCAATCTCGTCTCGCTCTCTTACTCTGTATCTCATACTCACCCTCAATTGTTCATCCGCTCTTGCTGTCTCCATTTAATTTTCTTTCTCTCCCTCTCACTCACGCATGCACACAATTTATTACTTTGTTCCTATCCCTCTATTTCTCCCTCTCTTTCACCCCCATACATATACACACACAAGCTCTTTTTGATTACTTGCTCTGTCTCCTCCTTTACATACACACATAAAAACACACACACATACACGGACAATTTCACTCTTTGTCACTACCTACTCTCTCTCTCTCTCTCTCTCTCTCTCTCTCTCTCACACACACACATACACACACACTCATGCACACGTACAGAAATATACGCTTTCTTTCGGTCTCTTAATATTTTTGTTCCAACCGCTTTGTCTTTCTCTGTTCATACCGCCCTCCCCCCCTCTCTCTCTCTCTCTCTCTATCTATCTATCTATCTATCTATCTGTCTCACGCACAGTTTTTCTCGCTGTCCATACCATCTCTTCCTCTTTTCTCCTCACTTTCATAAATCCAGTTTCTATTTTTTTCCATACCTCCCATCTCTCTTCCAGACAGATGCACACATATAAATATGGCTGTTTTGACATTGTTACTTAAAATATCAACTATTTCTAAATTCGACATCAGTTCTCTTTGGGAATAGACACAAGGATTTTTGCATTTTTCTTTTCCTTTCTTTTTTTGCTTACTTTTCTATATTTTGAAATATTTTCCTAACTTTTCTATATTTTTAACTATTTTGCCTATTTTTCTATATTTTGGACTATTTTGCTTATTTTTCTATATTTTGAACTATTTTGCTTATTTTTCTATATTTTGGACTACTTTCCTGATATCCGGTACACATTTAAATATAAATTGTTCAATGTCAGAGCAGTTTCGATTTTCATATACTATTATCAAAAAGGTTTTTGCTGTTTTTGTTTCTTGTTCTTTTTGTACAAGGTCGGTTTAATTATTTTTAAATATCGTCTTCTGAAAGCGAAAATAAATCAAACATTGGAAATTTATATTTAAATTTTCCCCAGAAATCAGGAAAATGGTCCGAAATACAGAAAAATATGCAAAAATAGTATTTAGTAAAGAATTTACGTTGGTTTTTAACCGAATACATATATTGGCCAAATACACCAATATACAGGCTGGTCCGAAAGTCTTGTCGCCCCTACATAAAATAAATTTCTATTTCAGATGGCTGACACGAGATCTTACAGTTTGGAAGAGAAGCAGGTATTAACAAGACTTTCGGACCGCCCTATATATATATATATATATATATATATATATATCGGACCGCGCTATATATATATATATATATATATATATATATATCGGGACCGCCCTATATATATATATATATATATATATATATATATTACAATGAATCATTCATACAAAAAGTAGATTAGTAAAGTTAATGATATAAAATGGCGAAATCCCTTCGCTAACGAAATTTTAAAGGTGAATTAACCTACAAATCACTCGATGAATGTTATGATCCTTGTTTTTAAAAATTATATGCTGTTATAAGGTCTTTCTTTAATACGCAAGTACTTTCGACTGTACATTCAGTCATCTTCAGGCATGGAAATTATTTTGTTTTTGGTAAAATTCAGGTAGCATCCGAGACGAAAAAATATAATGCAAATCGAAATATGTTTTGTTTTTTTTTAAATGTGTTATTGATAACGGATACAAACTTTTGGAGCGTGCAGTCGCAACGCTAAGGTTGAATTTTTTTTTTAATTTAAGAGAGTGTGTTTTTTACTAATATGGCAATTTGAGAATTTTTTTTTGTCTCGGGTGATATTAGAATTTTACCAAAAACAAAATAATTTGCATGTCTGAAGATGACTGAATGTACATGTCCACTGATATGTATTATTAGTATTAATAGTAGTAGTAATTTATTTTATTTTGTTTTGTTTTATATTATTTTATTACGGCATATTTTGTTCTTGATATCATTAGTTTTAGTTTAGTAATATGATTATCAATTACTGTCTTGAATTTTTGAAAAAAATAGAGTTGCCCCCCTTGATTTCTTAACAACACTTTTTTTGTTCACTTACGTTTTCTAAACCAGCGTCTCTCTAATTTAGAATTTATATTTCTTATTCCCAACCTTATTTTCAATCTTAAATATTAATCTGAGTTTACATTCAAATTCAAAATTAAACTACAATTCATTTAAATATTTTAACTGCAATAATAATATTTCTCGCGTCAACCAGAAAATTAAAAAAAGAAAAATATGTCAACTGAAAATATAAATATAAATATATAGCACGGCAAAACAATTCCATTCTAAACAAGCATTTCAACAATCTTCAAATCAACAACAGCCCCATAACTAATAACTGCAATTGCAGAAATATATATATATATATATATATATATATATATATATATATATATATATATATATATATATATTCATATTCATTGATGTTTCATTAAATAATATAGACAAGTTTTTGTCTATTTATTTTAAATAAATTCCTTTCATATTGTCTGATAAGCAATAACATTATCATTGAAAGAGGAAACAAATCACCATATTGATACATGTTTAAATCAATCTAAACTTTCGGCTTTTACATAGGCCATTATCATTATTATTATTATATGAAAGGAATTTACTTAAAATAAATAGACAAAACTTGTCTATATTATTTAATGAAACATGTATCAATGAAAAATTGCTGCCTAAATATACACAATATATATATGTGTGTGTGTGTGTGTGTGTGTGTGTGTTTCATTAAAGACGACAGACAGGGTACTACGATTGAGCTGTTTATTTAATTTTTCTTGTGTACGAACAAGTGTTTTCTTTTTTGGGACACAGAGTTTGTAGAAACTGTTCCAATGTTCTATAATTCCGAGCGCTCTCGGCTATACATTTAGCCGTTATCAAGGATGATTTTATTTTTGCTTTTTAATTGGGTGTATGAGTTTTGTGTTTGTTTTTAGAGTTATAGAGATGTTTTATTTTGCGAACACAGCACATTGTGGCCGTCTTCGTAGTTAATATTATTAAATATTGGCTTTTTCTTTTTTTATTATTAAGGCTTCCATTATTTTTAATCTTTTTTTTACATGTGGATGTTTGTATTTTCCACTAGTATGTTTCGGATTGGGTCTAGTAAGTTTGTGTGTGTGTCTGTGTGTTTAAATGGGTTCTAATAGAGCTGTGGTCAGATAGGTGTAACGTAAGGCGTCTGGATAAACATGTAATTGTGTGACAGATGTAATTATTTATGAAGTGTGCTTGACCAGGAACACAATTTTTTTTATAGTAGATAATTTGACTTTTTTGGTTCGGGTCAATTGGGGTAGTGTATTTCGTTATGATATTTCTAAGTGAAGATTCATCTTGTTTGTATATAAAGCTGGATATCCCTTCTTTAATTTTCGCTCTTGTCGTCTGAAGATCCTGCAAGCGTGAATCTGGAGTGACCACTCGAACTGTCCTTTGATAGGAGTTATGTTTTGAAGCGTTTTTTGGCTCTCTCTAGATAACCTATGCGTTGAGCACTTTTCTTATTGAGTCGGTGTTCTTTTTTTTTCTTTTAGGTCATTTTCTTTTTTTATTCTTTCCTTATTCAAGATTTTCTCTTGATTAAGTTGTTAGGTCTCTTGGTATGTAGTCTGTTGGTTACACCAACTTTATTGGTTTATCTTTAATATAAGTGGATCATTGTATCTGGCGATATTAATCCGTTCTGATTCAGTGACTCCTCAAAACAGACACCGCGAATAATTTTGCTAGAGACAATATTCCTTAATCCAATGGTACCTCAATCAAGAAACCAATCATTAGAATTGCCACCACTTTCTGTTGTACAAGTAGAAAGCTTAATATTGGGCATTTGATTCTCTGAAATGGGAGGAAAATTAGCACCTTGCTCCATACGCCGGTGAACCATTGATTTCCTCTGCAGTCGACATCCGGTTTGTCAAAGCTTTAATCTACTACTCGTTAAGTTTGTTTCAGCTTTTGTTTTATTTTTGTTTTTGTTTATATATATATATATATATATATATATATATATATATATATAAGCAAACGCACACATTAGAATAACCAGACTAGTGTATTCTTTAATGTTTTTTGTTTTTTTTTATTCGAAATTATCCCATTTAAAAATGACTGTTTTCGATTTGGATATGAAAACAAAAGCTAACGGATTCGAAGACGTCCAAATTAGTGCGCATTCGTTAAGTAGGTATTTGCGCCACGCCTTATAACCACGGCCATTTGTCTCCTCATTGGTAACGGCATGTTTCCGCCCAAGGAGTATTTCCCTGACGGAAAAAACGGAATCCAGGTTCGATCCATGTCAGAAGGGACATTTTCTTTAGTCTCCATTCAGGCCGGTTGATATTAATTTATTTCTTCTCGATCTAGGCCGGTTGATATCAATTTCACCGTTTAAGAAAATAAATAACATGAATGTGAACTCAAATATGTATACGCACTAAAAATAACGTTTGTCGTAGTAAGAAAATTGTGCATATATAGGAGAAAACGATAGACAAATTTTTATGCATCAGAATAATTTTAGGAAAATCTATGACAAAATAAAAAAAATATTTTCTTGTGACGTGTTCCATCCATTAGGACTTTTATCGAACTAAAGTGATGTTTACATGTTTACGTTGTTACGATTATACGTGTGCATGAAGGAGGTGGGACGCTGTACACACACACACACACACACACACACACACATATATATATATATATATATATACAAACGAGTTTGATTACAAATGACCGACACAGTATGTCTGTTTCCAATTTTCAGATAAGGTGTTGAGTGTTGTGTTCGATGTTGTAGATAAACTGTTAATTTTGTTTTCGACTTTCACAGTCATTATCAAGAACCGATGTGGTGTCTGTGTGGTAGTTAGAATTCTTTAAGGAGCTGGACGTTTGAAATGTTTTAGCATGACGTCATGTGTAACGGCTATTGGGAACGAGGCCGCATAAAAAGAATGCGATTTATTTATTTCATTAATGAATGACTGAATGAAAGAATATATATATATATATATATATATATATATATATATAATAAACAACGAATGTCTATTATGTTTGATCATGAGCCGTTCTAAGCTTTGTATAGTAGCTTTAGCTTGGGGAGAAAATAAAGACAAAAACTCTTCAACATTTGGATACTTTTTTTATTATACTGTTCATTGATTTAAGCTTTCAGCTCACAAAAACTATAATTAGAGTGGTTATATGGACATTACAACAGAGTTGTTCACTTCTTTACATAGAAGTTTGCTATGCGATGATAACAGCCGCGGAATAGCAGACACAGGTCGTAAATTCGTAATGCGGTTCTATGACGTCAGTCGTACATGACCACGTGAGAGAAAGAAATGTTATCAACAGAACCATTGTTTAAATACGTTGTAATATGTTGTAATGTCCATATAACTACCCTGATGAACAACATAATAAAAAATATCCAAATGTTCGGCAGTTTTTGTCTTTATTTTCTCAACAAACTAAAGCCACTATACGAAGCTTAGAACGGCTCATGATCAAACATAATAGACATTGGTTGTCTGTTATATTTAACAATATATGTTTGAATAATGATCTGCTGTCTCTAGACACTAAACACACACACACACACACATATATGTATGTATATGGTGGACTCTTCCGTTGTGTTCGATGTATGAGAGTCAAGCAGCTCAGTTCCTAGGAAACCGACAGCCCAGACCCCAACACATATGATTTCATTACAGAGATGATGGCTTTGTGCAGAACCAACCACACTTTTTGAAGGGCCGAATACAGAGTCCTAATGCACTACGTGTCACAAGGTCCCCAAACGACCCTCTGCAGGATTTGAATTCAGGGTTGACCTTCTCATAGACCAGTGGCCATCCAAGGCTATAGAACACAGACTATCCTGCTATTTACCCATAGCTGGATTAATACTTTCCATAAGGGTATTAACACGTAAGTGAATGTAATGTATTCGACTGGAATTCGAACTCGGCTCTCCGATTCCTCATATATACAGTGTAACCCGGATATAAGAGAGTTGTCGGGACCGGAGACGAAGTCTCTTATATCCAGGTTTCTCTTATATCCGGGTTTGGTCTTTTTTGTTTAGGTAAGTATGGGAACACTTTGGTACCAGAGAAAATTTCTCTTATATCCGGGTTTCTCTTATATCAGGGTCTCTTATATCCGGGTTTCTCTTATATCCGGGTCTCTTATATCCAGGTTACACAGTATATATATATATATATATATATATATATATATATATATATATATATATTGTCAAATTTCTCTTTTAAAGCGAGGCCATACAAACAGGTCTTGCTATGTTTTTATTATTAATCAGTCTACTATTGTTGCCTTAAGTTAGACTAAGTTAAGTTTAATATTTACTAAGTAAATAGAACGAAATCTACAACTACGTCAGACCCGGTCCAGGTATCTGGTTTCATGTCGTTAATCAAGTCTACATTGATGTTGTTTAGCCGCCTGCATAATTTACAAAGAGAAATTTCATATCAAGAAATAGCATGTTTCGCCTTTAAGAGCTGAAATTAGTTATAGCAAACATAAAATGTGCGACATCTGTATTATTTACTGATAAATGAAATTACAAATACGCCCACACGCTTACACACAGGTCTCACATAAACACTCTCTTGCTTCCTTCCGCCCACATGCACACATATGCATACGTTTTCTTTATTTTACGCCCTCCATTTCTCTCACTTACTCTCTCCCTCGTACTCTCTCTTTCACACGCGCGCGCGCACACACACACACACACACACACACACACACACACACACACACACACACACTTTACCTATCGCCCTCTCTCTCACTCATATTTTTACATACACACATTCTCTCACACACATACCCATTCTCTCACTCTCACATGCACACACATACACCCCATCTTTTTATCTTCTCTCGCTTACTGGGTATGACGATAAACTACATCCGGCAGCAAGGCCTCTGTTCGGGAGATTGGCAGTTTTGTGGAGCGTAGAACCACCGCTTTATTGCTGTTCTTCCCAGGTCCACTCTGACCCGGGGTGGTAGCACCTGTTAGGGTCTCAGATATGCGCAAATAGCGACCCCGCCAAGCAAAAACAAAATTCTATGACAGTATAAAAATATGTTTTCATAGTAAAAATACCAGCAATACATTTTATATAAATTACCAACAATACGCACATAATAAATTGTAGCGACTTCAACCAAATCAGTTTACACTATTTACATTATTCGGACTATTGTTCTCATCTTTGACGCCATGTTTATCACAACGTTTCGGCCTTTGTACGCTCCGGCCTTCTTCAGGTGGTTGGAATGTCGAACTGAACATTTTATTTCGTTCACTGGGGTAGACTCAAGAACACATGGCACGGTGGATAAAGGCATTAGTTAGATCCAGTGACAGGACCCAAAGGCAAGGATTATGGCAGCATTCACCAGCTTAATCAAGGAGACCGTCCAGAAGAGATGAAGGAGATTCCGAAGCCGTCTGGAGGCCGTGTTTGAAGCCAACGGCGATTTTATTGAACAAATATACTCTTTAGTATTTCAAGATATATCCCTGTATCTATGTTTAAGAAACCCGAAAGCAAATAATCGTGTCACAGAGAAAATTATTTGAAAAAAAAGAAAGAAAAAAGAAAGAAAAAAAAGCGTACAGTTCGAAATCAGAGATATGAGAAGAGAACATTAAAAGAAATAATTTTATCACGCTGACACACAACAGTACCAGATACGATAGACACTTGATAAAGGCTGGTGGGTCGAATGGTCGAAACGTTATGACAGAATACAAAGCCAAAGTCGGAAAGAAGCGACGTACATTATTCTACACTAGTGACAGTGATGGTTAACAAGCAAGCCACTTTTAGTCTGAATCTCTGATTCGAAGAGTTATCATCATTTACGGTATTTACATGCGGGCTCATCTTTGTTGTTATCACAAACACTTCGGCCGATGTCCTCTATGGCCTTCATCAGGTGTAATGTCGGTCCTGGCATTGCGAACTGAACCCTTTATTTAATCTACTGATAGTGAAACGGGAACATTCTACCACCGTAGAATAAATAAAGGGTTTAGTCCGGAATTCCCTGTAGGTTACCCGGATCGACATACACCTGATGAAGGCCGGTGGACACAACAGCCGAAACGTTGTGATAACAACAATAAAAACGAAGAAAATAATTTGCAAGTAAATAGTGTAAATAAGCAAGCTATTGTTATAGTAGCTAAATCGAGCAACAGTATGCCAGGCCATGCTAAGGTTAATCCAGTAACTGTAGATGACTGGAAATTTTGTCAGTATAGTTCTATAGCTCAAATGCGAATGTCGGAAATTTCTGACGCAGTTAATTGGTTAATCAATGTCGGTTTATATACGCACTAACAAACTTGGCCAAGGAGCTCGTTTCTCATTGCGAGAGTTTTGTGTCGGGCTACGAAAGCTTAATGTTTATCCACACACACTTGCACACACTTGCACACACACACACGCACACACACACACACGCACACACACACACATATATATATATATGTTGAGTGAGTGTTTGGCTTGTTTTTGACGGCTTATCAACCTTTTGCAGGTTATTTAAAGCCAGAAAATATTTTTTGCATTGTATGATTTTTTAGAAGGTAATAATGATTTACTAATTAGCGCATGGTCAGGAGTAGGGGGAGAAGAGAGTATTTGTGCGTAAGTGAATATAATGATCCCAACTTGAACTGGAGCTCGGCTCTCTCGTTAACAATTCCAATCCGTTATCCATTACACCATCCGCACATCCAAGCTTACATCACCTGGAATTCCCAAGCGGTCGCCCACCTAGGTACTAACCAGGCTAGACATTGCTTAACTTCGGTGATTGTACAAGAACCGGTGTTTGAACGTGATATAGTCTTAAGCCAAATGAATTACTAGAAGACAGTTGAAAATAAGGGAGGAATTGAAGGAACCTGGGATCACAAGGGGAGGAACGTAACTTGGGATTGTGAGAACGAGTCTATGTGATGTTCATGCCACATAAACTCAAATTAATATGTTAATCAGCGAACCAATAACTGTAGTTCATCGTATTAAAATCCCAATCCATGGCATCTACCTTAGATTTATCATAAAAAAATCAGAACATGGAATGAATAAATATTAAAAACTTGGTGTATGAATCAGTTATAACAAATGTAGGAGATAAGATAATTGAACATAGAATAGGCTAGATGTAGTTTCGCACATCACCCGCAACTAAGTGATATACGTATAACACCGTCACTAGTCTCAGACAACATTTCTGAATTAGATTCCCATAAGGCAAGTGGAGTTGACTGGATCCTTCCGTCATCCTAAAATGTGCTCCCGAACTGGCTCCAGTTCTCTCCAAACTCTATAACTATCGCCTCGCTGCTTCCTGCTTTTCAACTTATTGGAAGTCCTCCTCTACAGTTCCTGTTTTTAAGAACTCTGGAGAACCTTCTGAACCCACTGTCATCCTGTTAGTCTCCTACAGCTTTTCGGCAAAGTATTCGAGGCTTTAATCAATGCTGAAGTGATCAAGCATCTTACCTTTCGCAACCTACTCTCTGACAAACAATATGGCTCCACTTTGGCCAGATCTGCAACTAAGTTGCTAACGGCTATCAATGAATATGTATATCAAGCTCTTGATAATAACACTGTTTCTGATCTTCTTCAATGATCTTCCTGATATCATCAGTTCCTAAGTAGGCATTTATGCAGATGACACTAACATTTACTGCTGTCTCAATAGCAAATCCATCAGAACTGACAAAGTTAACCTGTCCGCTGCTCTTGAAAACGGCCTATAGTGGTTAACTGATGCAGGAAATGGCTTATAAATTTTAATGCCTCTAAAACTAAACTGCTCGCATTTAACCACCATAGAAACTTTCCTGTCCGCCATCAGTATGGCTGATGCTAGACTCCTGAGCCTTCTTGGCCTCACGTTTTCAACTTGAAGTAGAACGACTACATTGAATCAATAGCTGCATCTACTGCAAGGAAAGTTAGGTCACTGTGCCGTGCCAGAAGGTTTTTTCTCGTCAGAGTCCATCTTGTACATTTACAAATCTATCACTCGTCCGTGCATTGAATACTTGCCATAGCTGCTACTGCTATTCATCTCGAGGTTCTTGACAAAATCCAAAGAAAGATCTGCAATGTAATCGACCCTGGCTTGGCATCCCGACTTCAGCCACTATCCCACAGACAAGATATAGCTTTCTTCTGTCGTTTCTACAAATATTTTCATGACAACTGCTCTGGTGAGCTTTTTTTCCCCTGGTGCCTCGGCTACATGAATTTAAGTGTGCTACTAGATTGGCATCTAGATCCCAAAATTTGTGTTGTCGGAATAGTTAAATTTAACCGCCACTCCTACTGCAACAGCTTATTTTCCCGCACTTCCCATCTGTGGAACTCCCTTCCGTTTACTTGCTTCCCTGAAAACTACAGTCTTCAAAAATTTAAGTGCAACGTCAATCACCATCTTCTGTTTCCTTGAATCCCGTTCATCTTTTATCCTTTCCTCAATCCCTTGTATACACAGTTTTTTTTTTCTCGCTTTCACTCTCTGTAACACCCTGCAAACGAGTGGCATTCCTGCCTTGCTTGGGAAAAATGATAAAAAAAAGTTGCTACAAGTGCAAAACATTAAACTGAAAATTCGAGTTATGTTCTTAAATAACTTCGTGAAAACGAGACTTTCGTATGAATGCCATGCGTGTCACTAAACTCGTCCAGAAATATCTAAACAGTCAGTTGTATACAAATGCTTTCTCGGATCAATAGTTTGTGGGTTATCCCACTTGACTTAGCTAAAAAAAAAAAAAAAAGAAAATAAAAAGTTAGGTGGCGCTATTTAAGTCTGTAAAAAGGCAAACATTTCCTTTTTTTTTCTTCTTGTTTCCAGATGTAGTCGAACTTCGATAAAGAACGTTGCCACCGAGGCACATTCTTTTTCTTGGTCCACTGACTATGGAACTCTCTCGCACACACGCACATACACATACGTGTGTATCACACACACACACACACACATACACACACACACACACACACACACACACACACACACACACACATTTTAAATAGTCTTTAACGTCATTTCCTTTTATGTCAGTTTTGTACACATGTAATTCATTTTGTTACTAAAATGCATTTACTTGTCGCTTGTATTAAAATCCATGTTTGTTTTTTTATTTTTTCCCGGACTCACATGAATCCACCAAATATTATTTGCGGAACAAATGTTCCAGGAGGCGTTAAATGTTAACTACAAAACGACCACACCCCGCAACAATACCTCATACTTAATTTGTATAGATGATATGCGTATACATGCACATGTAGGTTCATATTGTGTTTTTTATTTTTAACCGGGACTCTCATGAGTCCACCAAATATTGTTTGCGGGAGAAATGTTAACTACAAAACGACCTCACCTCGCAACAAAAGTGGTGATTCCCGCAACAATACCTCATACTTAATTTGCATAGATGATATGCGGATACATGCACATTTATATTTATTTATATATTTTAGGTTTATATTGTAGAGCACTAGTGATTTTGAAAGTTAATGCCACCAACTGAAATGTCCTACAATAGTTTACTACCAACTTAGCTGCATTCCTTAGTCACACCAATTCAGTTCGTTCATAGATAAGACCTGCCATGCCACGTTCACGGCGTCAAATCATCCCCCATTAGGATTGCTACTTCCCCAGAACTGTTACTTTGTGGAACATACTCCCAAGAGGATGCTTTCCTCTACAACTACAGTCTTAACGTGTTCAAGTCTAAGGCTAGCCAATATCTATCCTACATCGCTTCATAATATGAAATTCTTAATTCCCATTCTTTTTTTTCTTACAACAATCTCACTCAGTAGCCATCTACCCTGAGTGGCTTTTTTTTAGATTTGTATTAGATTAACTAAAGCCAAAAAAATAAATTTTCCATTATATATAAAAACAAACTCTAATACAATTTATTTTTGCAGTAATGTTACATTCTCGCAATAGTTTAAGAATGGTTTCAGGCGAATGAAATCTGTAGGTCTTAGCGAGGACCATCCTTCATTGTATTTTGTGGACTGGCGCTACAGAATCACCATAAAAAAAGCTGTACCAATTAACAGAAACCATATCGCTTGGGGATTTTTAATAACAGTTAAATTATGTACCACATGTAACTTGAAGAGAAAATAATGGCCTAATCAAGATGCTGACACTCCAGATTATTTTGAACAAAAACTTAGAAAGTCTCCATCGACATTGGAAAAAAGTTATAACAGTTTACTCGATGAACCTATTTTCCTGAGACATTTTGTTTTAAGGGAAAGATTTTAGAAATTTCAACAGAAAGTAGAACTGGCTACTCGATCAATGAATACCGAATATTTCCTTATAGGGAAACGGCTAATATTACCATTAGAGATGGGGAGAACAGATAGTACACTTGGTATTTACTTGTCCCCCCCCTCTACGGTGACGGGACATGGCACAAGGCTGGTATAAAGTGAGGAGTCCAAGTGCGTGCACATGGACTACCCCCCCCAAAAAAAAAATGCCCGGGAATCCATGGGACCAAGCATCTCTCATTTATTTGTTGTGTCCTGTCCGAAGACAGAAACTCAATTCAGAGATAAAATGTAGTTTTCCCGTCCGAAGGCAGATTGTATTCACTTGCCGCACCACGCTGGGAAGGTTTGAGACAAGGTCAGTTTAATGTGGGGAGCCCGAGTGCGTGCACTCGAGGCAGGTCGAAAAAATAGCCCCAGTCCACGCAACCGCCTGTTGCGTTGGCATCGGTATTACTACCGATCTGTAATATAGTGAGGAAGATACTGCCATCGGGTAACTGTTTCCCATGACCGGACATCTCTCAATGATATTTTCCGTTGCGCTCTCTCCGCAGGCAGAAACATAATTGAGTTGCACTATGAAGACAAAGACACAATTCAGAGATTAAAATTTAGTTTATCTGCCTGAGAGCAGATGCTACACTTTGATTCCAATGCAAAGGCCAATTAAAGGAGCATGTTATGTTCCCCACAGTGACATAGTTAGTTGCATCTAGGGTGCTCATACATATAAAATATGGACCAAAGACAATTATTGTCCAATTTCTTCGATCACTATCACGCAAGCATCAGAATACTCTGATCCTCACTAAGTGCAATAGGATGGCGCATCATAAGTGTAAAACCCATTGTCAGTAGACTTTAGGTGTACATCAAAGCCAAAAGTTCAAGTAGTCACATTTCAATGGGTTTTTTTTATTTATTCTCCCCACCAATGATGGTAGGATGTGACATATGCCTAGTTTAATGTAGTTCATATATATACCCATAGGTATATATATGAACAAAAATTTCCTAATCCCCATCACTACTGTCATGCTTGTGTCAGTATCCACCAATTCTCCGTCTTTAGTGGAAGGTGCTGCTGGCTGTAGAATTGGAATTTCCAGGACTTCTTTCTTTTTATGTGCCGTGTCCTTTCAGGACGTAATGCGATCATGGCTCTCCACCTCCCTGTATTCTTTGCATCTCTAAACAAGTTCCTTCCCTCTGCTCCCTCCCCCAGACCATGTTCTGTCATCCATTTGCTTAAGTCTGCCGAATATGTCACGCGTTGTTTTCCCTTGTCTCTCTTTCCCTCTATTTGACCCGTGAGTATCAGATTCTCCAGGCCCTCCTTTCTCATTATGTGTCCCAGAAACTTCAGCTGCCTCTTCTGATGTTAAGTATAAGCCTCATCCTTGTTTACATCCTCTCTAAGACCTTATCCTTGCTCACACGCTTATGATATTACATAAGATTTTTTTTGCGGAAATAACACCTTCAGGGATTTTTTTATGCATAACAAACATTTCCCAGT